GTACTTGTTGATTGATTGTATGTCCTCCTCTGAGAAGTGTCTGTTCAAGTCCTTGGCCCATTTATTGATTGGGTTATTTGTTTTCTTATTGCTTAATTTTTTGAGTTCTTTGTATACTCTGGATATTAGGGCTCTATCTGAAGTGTTAGGAGTAAAAATTTGTTCCACCTCTATTTTTTCTTCATCTCATTATTTATCAATTCCAAGTAATGGGTGGACAGTAGAAAAAACCAAAATAATCAAATGGGAACTGAGGAGAGAATCTTAAAGTAGCAGTCCTAACCCTACCTGACTTTTTTAAAAATCTTGGCCCCATTTGTAGTTGGGTCATCTGGCCCCGTCACTGTGGCTGTAAAACCAGGGCTAAGCATACTACTTTGAAAGACATTGAAACTGGAGGAAACTTGTCACAAAAACCCTATCAGCTGCGAAACTGCTTGTGCCACCAGCAGACTGGTGTAAGCATTCAGGGTCTGACTAAAACTCCAGAACTGCTCAACCTGAATAACCAGAACTGCCTCTCTCTGAAATTTTAAATTCAAGAATCCCCACTTTCCAACTGTATTATTCAGCTTTCTGTTACTATGACAAATACCTGAAAAAAACTTAGAAGAGGAAAAGTCAACTTTGGCTCATAGTTTCATAGAACTCAGTCCAGAGTTGGCCAACTCCATTACTCTAGGCCTGAGGTGAGGCAGAATATCATAGTAGAAGGGTATGGTGAAGAAAAGCTCATTTATGTCAGCCAGGAAACAGAAAAAGATTGAGAGAAAGGAGCCAAGGACAATATTTAGTCCTCAAAGGCATGACCTCAGTGACCTACTTCCTCCAACCATGCCCCCACCTGCCTACAGTTTCTACACATCCCAGTAGTCCAATTACTCATCCATGAAATGGATTAATCCACTGATGATGTTATAACTCTCATGACCCAACCATTTCCCAAAAGCCCTACCTCTGGACATTGCTACATTGCCTTCAGCACATGAGGTTTTGGTGGACATTCCAAATCCAAATCATAACACCAGCTACAGTTCATGACCACTATACCCATTCTTCAACCTTATCAAGACCAAAATCTCTTTAGCCCTAATTTTCTTTTAGTCCTCTTACCTCTTGTTAATATCTTCTTTTCCTACACATTCTGGATTTAGACAGTTCAACTTCTGACTATCTCTCACCAGTATATTCCATATCCATGTAATTTTGCTATAGCTTAGATTTGGATTGTCCCCTGAAGACCCATATGTTAAATGCTTGGTCCCTAGTCTGGTGCTAATGAAGATAATGGAGCCTTTAAGAGGTGAGGCCTAGTGGGAGGGCTTAGGTAATTGGGGGCAATCCTTCAAGAGGAGAACCTGGTTTCTTCCTCTTTCTTTTGTGCACTCGACTATGAAGTAAATGGACTTTCTCAGCCACAGAAGCAGAGATGTGCTATACCACCACAGACCCAAAGCAAAGGGGCCAACTGATCATGGTCTGAAATCTCTAAAACTGTGAAACTAAACAAATATTTCCTCTTTATAAGTTATCTCAAGTATTTTATTACAGTAAAGGAATGCTGACTACCACAACGTTCATCCTTCTACCACAACTGCCCCTAAAAATCCCAAATCAATATCAATGCCTGCACAGTTTACTACCATAACCACATACTATGCAATTCCTTATCTAAAGTCTCAGCTTTATTTTTTTTGTAGTCACCCACAAATC